AAGGACGAGGGGGGACATGATAGCAGTGTTCCAATATCTCAGGGGCTGCCACAGAGAAGAGGGAGTCAAGCTATTTTCCAAAGCGCCTGAAGGCAGGACAAGAAGCAACGGATGGAAACTAATCAAGGAGAGAAGCAACCTAGAACTAAGGAGAAACTTCCTGACAGTTAGAACAATTAACCAGTGGAACAACCTGCCTGCAGAAGCGGTGAATGCTCCAACACTGGAGGTTTTTAAGAAGAGACTGGACAGCCATTTGTCCAAAATGATATAGGGTTTCCTGCCTGAGCAGGGGGTTGGACTAGATGACCTCCAAGGTCCCTTCCAACTTTACAATTATTATTATTATTATTATTATTATTATTATTATTATTATTATTATTATTCCTTATTATAGTTAATTAAATGTATCTTGGAAATAACTTCATTGAACTTCAAGTTTTACAGAATAACAGAGTTGGAAGGGACCTTGGAGGTCTTCTAGTCCAACCCCTTGCTCAAGCAGGAGACCAGGCAGAAATAAAGCCTACTTTCCTAATGCCACAATCATAACCTCTGTCATCTCTAGACAGAATGTAACTGGTTAGACATGTAGACCACCAGTTTGAAAAAAGATAATAACAAATACTATGATTAATGAGGCTCCCTCTCAAAGTAACCTGAGTTCTCTGGTCATTATAATATTTCAAAAGCACCACCATTCAGTTCTGGAAGGGCTGTTTATAGTCAACATCTGAAACTTCATATTACTTTGACCTTTGTCAACCAGTTTCAACAGCCTATGATACACAAAAGAATGAATTGCTAGTAGCACCATTCATCTAGGCTTGTTTATAAATAACCTCCAGCAGATTATTTACATCTATGTTCATTGGAAGCTTTCCTAATTAAGCAAGTGAAAAACAAGCATGCATTCTGCATCTCACTTCCTTCACCCACTCGAATCAAGCAACAGCCTATCCCACAATATGTTGCTCTGTATGTGTTGTGCCTTTGAGTCAGTGTTGACTCCTGGTGACTGCTTGGACTAGTCCCTGCAGTCTTCTAGAATTTTCAGAAATTATTTGCTATTGCCTTCTTCTCCCTAGAGCTAAGAGTGAGTGACTAATCCAAGTGACTATTCCAAACCCAGTTGGTTTTGTAACAGTCAGGATTACAAATGACAGTCTTCTGATTTCTAGCCTGGTACCTTAAGCACTACACCAAACTGGATCTCAAGATGTTACTAGAGTCTACCAATTCAGACTCCAAATGGGGTATCAAATGTTTCCCTCAGAGGACTCTATGTGGAGGCAAATTGAAATCTGCAACATGGCAAGCCCTGCCTCTTCTGTATGCATATGCAATGTTAAAACATATAGAAAACACTCAATGTTGACAGATACGGTAAAGAAAAAGAGAAAGTCTTGGACTATGACACCATGACTGTCATTGTGTAGGTTCTGACACACACATACACACCATGGATACTACTGGTTTCCCTGCATTGTGAGATGATAGACGGACAGACAGACAGACAGACAGACAGACAGACAGACAGACAGACAGATATAGAAAGATAAAGAAAGATAAAGAGAGAGAGAGACAGAAATAGAGAGATACCCAAAATTGGGGCCTTTCAGATGCTGAACTATCATCAAATCAACAATGAAGGATAAATCTATTAATAACTACAATACTAATGTTCTGTTTATAATCTTTGCACTGGCATCTGGTTCACCATTGAGGAAGCAATTGAATCCAGTACAGTTTTTACTCCACTGACTGAAACACTTAATCAAGATTCAGGTTGATTTTACTTAAACTTAAATTGACCCACTTGATTAGGACTCGGTTTTTTTCACTCATACATTCATTCTAAACATGGGGTCGTTTGTTACTATTTACTTTGGTCTGAGCA